AGTAGGCCGGCTCCACGTGCGCCTTGTGGTCGGGGTGCTCTGCCAAGTACTTGGCCTTCTCCGCCTCGAAGGCTGCCTTGTCCCGTTCGTTCTGCGTCTCGCGAGGCGTCTCGCGGAGGTTCTGGATGCGTTTCTTGGCGACTGCGGCGTAGACCTGTTGGGCGCCCGAAGTGAGCGGGGAAAGAACGGGCACAATCCCCAACGGCAAATGTTGCCCCAAACCAACAGTGGCCGCTGTTGGGCAGGCGGCCATCTGCCTCAAATGGACACAGGCCGCGGAGACACCGACAGGGAATCCGGTTCAAAACTAGCAAGAACTGCCGTTGGGCATTGCATCCATTCTTTCCGCACCAATTTCGCTCGCGCCGAGACCTCGCTCTCGTTGGCGCGCGCCTGCTCCTCGCCCCGGAGCTTGAGCCAGAGCGCGGCGGCGTCGACGACGACCGTGCTCTTGCTGGCCCCACGCTCGGCGGAGGTCTCGGGGCCCCCGACGAAGAGGCCGGGCCGAGGTCCTCAGAGCCGCCCCTCGCCACCAGGCGCACGAACCTCGTGGTGGTAGTAGTAGTAGTAGTAGTAGTAGTGCTACTCGTTCTAGTAGTAGTAGTAGTAGTAGTAGTAGTAGTAGTAGTAGTAGTTACTCTCTCGTGGTATCCGTGCTATCACTACTACTAGTAATAGTAACTAGTAGCAGTACCTGGTGGCATTCGTAGAAATACTCGTTACTAGTAGTTACTAGTAGTAGCACCTAAAAGTAGTAGTACCTGGTAGTAAGTAGTACCTGGTAGTAGTGGCACCTGGAAGTCATAGTTACTGCTAGTAGTACCTGGCAGTCGTGGTAGTAGTAGTAGTAGTAGTAGTAGTAGTAGTAGTAATAGTAGTAGCAGTAGTAGTAGTAGTACTAGTAGTAGTAGTAGTAGTAGTAGTAGTAGTAGTAGTAGTAGTAGTAGCAGTAGAAGTACTTAGTAGTAGTAATAGTAAGAGTAGTAGTTACTGGTAAGAGTAATAGTAGGAGTAGCACTAAGAGTAGCAGTGGCCTGCTTGAGCCTGTTGATCCACTCATTGCCGCGGGCGCGCATCGGACGCTTGGCGGCCCTCGCTTCGGATCTCGCGCAGGGCGCGCTCGATCCAGCGACCCGCCCAGTAACTGGTCGTAGTAGTAGTTGCTAATAGTACTCGTAATGATCAGTACAACTTTCTACTGCTACTAAGGCTAGTTAATAGTACCACTACTACGAATAACTACTACAACCTGTCGGCCGTGGCCCAAGTCAGCTTGGCCTTGTCCTTGCGAAGAGCATGCTTCCACCGGTCGGAGAGGCCCTGGCTCTTGCGCCCGCTCGCGTTTATCCTCGAAAAGACGAACTCGCCCACCCGCTGCAAGTCCTTCCTGGCCGTCTGGTTGATCCGGAAGGTACTCAAGCGCTTGGCCACCCGCTTGAGGATCTCGGCGTCGTAGCTCTGGCGGCCGATCTTCTGCAGGTGGAGCTGCATGTCCTGCTCGAAGGCCAGCTCGTGTCGTAGCGCAGCCGCGTCAGAGTGGTTTTCTTCCTGGCCTCGTGGCCGCGCTCGCGCTCCCGCTTGAACTGGCGCCCCACGCGGCGCACGACGCCTTCGAGCGGGCGCTTGGCTGTGACTTCGCCTGGGATGTCGCGGGGCAGCCTGGCGCCTTGGCCCCTCTCGCCCCTGCGCTGGTTCGCTCGGGCGCGCCCGCGGCCTCGGGGGCCGTCCTTGCCGAGCCTCGCCGTGGCAACTTTCTTCTCGAAGGCAGCTTGAAGGCCGTGCCATCGGGCAACCGTCTCGTGGCCCCAGTGCCACTTGTGATGCAGCTCGGCCTTCGCTCGGGCTGGCTGGGGGGCGAACTTCTTCGCGCTGTGCTCGTCCGCGTGCGTGCTCCAGTCGAGGGGGGTCTGGGGCTTGGACTGCGCCGTTGGGTCTCGTCGCAGCGCGGGCGCCGCTCGGGTCTTGCGCGTTCCCTTGCGCTCCGCGCTCGTGCCCTGGGGTCTGCCGCTCCCGCCGGAGCCTCGGTTCGAGCCTCGGCCGAGATCGTCCGGGGCGAGGGCCTTGCCCTCGGCGCTCGCAAGCTCTCGGCGCGCGGCCGCGGCCGCGAGTCGCTCCTGCGGGGGGGTGGGGGGGGGGGGGGGCTCGTAGAATTACAGTCGACTCGTGTAGTAAGGATGCGCGGTAAAGATGCAAGGTCCTTGCGCGGCCCAAAGACGGGCCGAAGTGGCAAGAATGCAAAGGCAGCGAGATCGCCATCCTTTCCACGCGGATTGACTGCAATGTTATTCGTAGTAGCACGAGCAGGAAGAAAGGAGCAATCATGGTGCGAGACGGAAGAGAGGAGAGGATGGCCCCAGGATCGATTTCCAAAAAGTGTTCGGGTTTGGGGCCTTCTGTTATTTACATGTAACACACTAGTTTCTGTTAGTCGTTTCCAACATCGCATGCGCGGGGTCCATGGTGGGATTCCGCGGAAGGCTTTAAAAAGAACCAGGGGATAAACAAAAATCTAACCCTTGGAGGGCAGGGGGGGCGGTAAGAGGAGAAAGAGAAAGAAGAAAAGGAGCAGGAACATAATAAGGAAGAAAAGGCAAAGCATGGTTGAAGTCGCCCCCGGCCAACGCGAAGCGACAGCAACTTTGATCCGAAAGATAAAGAAAGAGGAACATAAGATGAATGACGCAGAGAAACGCTGAAGAAAAATGAGGAAGAGGAATCCTGCTCGGCCGTCTCAGCCTCGAACCTCGTGGCCTCGACTTGCTTGTAGAAGCTCGCGCCAGACTCGGCCGCCCCGTAGGGCGAGGTGCTCAACTTCTCGTGCGAGCTCGGGGCCGCTGGCGGCGAGGTCTGCGGGCCCCAGGGACTCGACAAGCTCGTCTGCTTCGTCGGCGTGGACATCAGAATCTCGCTGCAAAACTGCAGTAACTCGAAACAGAAACCCTCGACCCAACGTGGCTACGGAAAGTTCTAGGCTTCTGGGGCTGTCAATCCGTCCATTATCCCCTTTCGTCCTCTGCAGGCCGCCAGATACCTCTGTCGCCGGACCCCCTATGATATCGTCCTATGCAACTGCCTGGGTTATAGTCATCCTGCTTTTCCTCTTATTGACTCTCCCGATGCCCATGGCAGTAGCGTCGACGTCTAGTCGCCGCTTGCGGGCCCAATTCTCACATCTGAAGGGCACTCTCTAAAAGGAACTCAAAGGTTAGTGAGGGGGGCATCTGAACGCAGACCTGTTGCCAATCGTCGAGCCACTCCCACGCGCGGCATGGCAACTTTCAGCGCAGTTATCTTGATCGGAAGAGGCAGCTTGCAATATTTGCCATAACTTTCCATTGTCCCCAGGAGCGCGCCTCATTGCTCCAGTTGAACAGAAGTGTCACATTCCTTCTTAGGTCTTAGGAATCTCGGGGCCCATGACTGATTGATCTTGGACGACGAGGTTACCCTAGCTGCTGCAGTCCAGCCAACGCCCTTTCTTAAACTCTTGAGAATGCTTAATGCCCCGGTGCTCTCCAACTTGTCCGTGTATTTGCACCGCCAAACCTGATCCTGTGAATTGATACCTTCCTTGCCCACGCTCTGTAATTATCCCCGGCCGCCGTATTCTCGAAACTTTCTATGGTAGCCATATTGTACTCCGCCGCCGTCGTCCGTATGATCAACACTCTTATAGCATCGCCCTCGCTGCAGGGGTCAGGTTCCGCCCCGCCCAATGTTTCCAATGTTAAAATCCATGTCTTCAGCGCCTTGCGGTTACCACTGCTGGCCCGCGCCAATGCTTAACGCGCCCGCGCTGTCTCCACTGAAGGTCTTCGACGGCTGGACGGCGTTCTGTTCGCCCATGGGTCTCTCACGCGTTGCATTCCTGTTCGTCTCTGCCCTGTTGGCCAGGGCAACGTGTTCGACGGCTGCGTTCGTTTTGTTCTGTTTTCCGGTTATATGTTCCAACGCAGCCACTCAAGAGCTCACAACTGCCATTTCCGTCTCGTGTCCGTAGCATTGCAGTGTAGGACAATGAAAAAATTGCTCATCAGTGACATCGCGTGCTGATTTGGTGTGTCTTGGTTATGAGTGCGTTCGCTTCCGCCCAAATAGCTTATCATTGCGATCCGGTTAGCGTGCAGGACAACTTGGACAAACTCATAACCTGTCTGGCTGTTAGCCGTTCGGCAATTCACCGCGCAATTGGTGATGTTGTACTCGATCCAATCTCGCCGCCTCGTGGTGGGCATCCCGGCGCCTACTCTCACTGCAATGACTTCGCCGCGCTAACATCTAATTTGGAAAAACGAATCACATGAGGGAACAATTCTTTTGTCAAAAAAAACAAGTAAAGGTACCTCGAAGTGTCGTGCCCTTGGAACCGCGGGCTCGAACACGCGAGCCAAACTCCAGCGGTTGCACAGCAACCTGGGGACCCATATCGAAACATCCTTTCCTCCCTCCCCGTTTTCCTCCTACTCCGCCTCCTCCTCCCCCTCACGCCCTCTCCCCCTCCCCTTCCTCCACATCCCCCATCTTCCTCCTCCCTCGCCTCCTCCTCCTCCTCCTCTTCTCCTTCTTCTTCTGCTTATGAGTCCTCCTCCTCCTCCTCCTCCTCTTCTGTTGCTTCTTCGTCGTCCTCCTCCTCCTCCTCCTCCCTCCTCTTCTTCCTCTTCTTCTTCTTATTATTATTCTTATGCTCCTTCTTCGTATTATTATTATTAGTATGATTGTCCTTATTCTTCTTATTATTCCTCCTCCTCCTCCTCCCTTCCTCCTCCTCCTCCTCCTCTTTCCGCCTCCTCCTCTCCTCATTCTCCTCCTCCCCCCTCCTCCTCCCTCCTCCACCCCCCTCCTCCTCCTCCTCCACTCCTCCTCCTCCGCCTCCTCCTCCTCCTCCTCTCTCCTCCTCCTACCTCCTCCTCTCCCCAACCCTGCCGTTTCCCCCCCCCCCCCCGCCCGCCTGCTTTCTGCGAAGGGGCGGGGCCGTCCCGTGCTGCCGCAGAGGCCCCCGCGTGGAGGCACGCACGGAGCCAGGTGGTCTCTCCCGCGGCGGCGGCGCCCTGCAGCGCCCGGGCGACCTCGGGGAGAAAGGGGGGCGATGGAGGCGGGACAGGAGAGAGGGAAAGGGGAAGGGAGGAGGCGGAGCAGGACGGTGCGAGAGGAGGCTGGGTTTGATCAGCGGGGAGAGGAGGCTGGGAGGAGAGGTTTGAAATGGGATCCTGGAGGGAGACGGCGGGAGAGGGGCGGGGGCAAGACAATGGCGTCCGCGGGCGGGGGCGAAGTCCGGTGCTACCCCGCCCAACCATCCCTTTTCATTGCGCGCTGGCTCTGGCGGACATTCATTGCGCGCTGGCTCTGGCGGACATGGAAGTCCCCAATTCACACCATCTGTGCACAGCTTGGGGGGTGGAGACGTGAGGCAGCTTGGGGGGTAAAAACCAGTGAGGAGGCCTGAGGGCCTGGGAAGGCGGAAGGCAAGGTGGAACACCGGCGAGAGGAGGAGGGGGGTCCCTCCCCTCCTCCCCCCCCCTCCCCCCCCCCTCCCGCTCCCCCCCCCCCTCCGCCCCCTTCCCCCCGACTCAAAAAGGGGTGAAGTGGGAGTGAGAGATACCTTCTCGCTTCTTGGGGCAGTGGCCCTCGGGAGGACTGCCCAGGCCGCGGCGGGGAGCAGGGGGCAGCACGGCGGGAGCTGTGACGACAGGAGGGGACAAAAGGCTTAGGAGGCAACCGCTGGGAGCTCTTCGTCGGAAGGGTGAAGGAGCATGGCGCCCATTGGGGGGCTGCTGCGCCAGAGTAAGCCGCGGATGCAGCTGGGCGAAGCGGGGCTAGGCCCGATTCAACGGGACTGAACGGGATTGAAGCGATTCAAACCAGATGTGCATTCGAAAAAGGGGGAGGAGAAAGAAGGAAAGGTGGCGGGGAGGAAGAGGACTAGAGTAGACTCAAGATCCGTAGACGATGGTGCAGCACACCCTCTCGTCCCAAGTGCCTTCATCAGAGCCCCCCGTAATGACAGTGGGTCGCCTTTCATGTGCCCAGGAGTTGCACGGCTGAGTTCTTCGGATGACATGATTTGCGGCGCTGTTATGCGACAGCCCCACGTGTAAGAGAAATCGCGTGCTTGTGGGCAGCGACTCCATATTATGGTGCACTCGTAGCGTGAACATGCCGCATGTCTCCAACTAAGGCTCACTCTCAGAAAAGAACGGCCCTGCGCCCGCGCTGTTAACGATGAGTGCGAAGCTCTGAGCAGACATCGTGGAATCGGGCCCTCCGTCCGTGCGACTGTTGAACAGCACGGTAAACAGATGTGCGCTGCGCCACGGCGAGGGCCGTGTTTGTTGTGGTTATCGCCTGTTCTCCTCCGCGTGACGATCGCAGACAGGACGATGATGAGGACGAGGAAGAGCACGAGGGGAAGGGGGAGGCGAAGGGGGAGGGAGAGGAGGGATTCACAAGAATGGCGAGGCGGAGGCGAAGGACAACAATGACCAACCTGGCGAGGAAGGGTGCCCTCGTCGCTCACGCGAGTCCTGCGCGAGGCCGTCCTCCTTCTCGCCCTCGTCCTCCATCTCGTTCTCGTCTCATGTCTCCTGCGGCTGCTGTTCCTGCCCCTCCACCTCCCGGCCTTCTGGTCTTCGTCCTGCTTCCCCTCCTCCACCTCCTCCCTCCTGCTACTCCCCATCGGTCCTCCTCCTCCTCCTCCTCCTCCTCCTCCTCCTCCAATTCCTCCTCCTCCTCCTCCTCCTGACGCTCTTGGTTCGCCGTCCCCTGCCGCACCTCGCCCAGGCCCCCTCCTCCACGCCCCGCACCGCTCCCACCGACCCCCCCCCGCAAGCACATCGCCCGAAGGCAGGCAGGGGGGACGGCTTCCGCAAGCCCGCGGCCTGCACGGCCGCCGACGCAGTCCTCACCTTGGGGCGCGCGAGGGCAACCGATAGGCTGAGGACGACGAGGAGGAGGAGGATGAGGGGGAAAAGGAGGAGGATTTCTCCTCTGTCCTCCCTCACACCTCCACTCGACATCACACCGTCACCTCCATCCTCTCCTCCACCTCCTTACTCCCGTTGTTCTTTCCATCACATCTCCCTTGTCCTCGCATCCCTCTCTCCCTCGTGCCCCCATGTGCCTCTCTCCATCGTGCCTCCACAGCAGACAAGGGGGACCCCTACACCCAGCCCATACCCCACAACCCCCTTTCCACTCCCACAGTGGAAGGAATTCCAGGTCGGCGGCGGCGCCCAGAGCGACCAAAACGAAAACCAGGGAAGGGGTGGAGGGGTCTCGTGCCACCCAGCACCGCCGACATACCTGGGGTTTACACCTGGGCCTGCTCAGGCTGATCCCGAGCTTCGGTTTGGCGGCTGCCCCGCTCTTTGTTCCACTGCTCGCTCCTAAATGACATCGTATCTGGATGGGCTGTTAGGGATGCACGGAGCGCCAATAATGAGCATCTGCCGCAAAACAACTGGCCAAGGCGGCCAGAAGTGCTGCCCTGGCACGAAAAGGACGGGGTCCGAAAGAAACTGGCGGGGGCCTCTCCACGGAACCAGCTTTCGACCCTGCTCGACCGGCCTGTCCCGCCCGCCCTGCTCGACCCGCCCGTTCGTGTCCACCCGCCCGACCCGAGTCGACCCGACCCGCCCGTTAGGGTACTCGCGCGTGAACTCGATCGCGCACCACACTTTAATGTCCCGCTCGCCCGACCCGGCCCGCCCGTTAGGGTCCGCCCGCCCGACCCGACCCGACCTGCCCGTCGCCGGCGACGTCGTCCTCCTCTTCCTCCTGCTGTTTCCGCTCTCGTTCCCGGCCGCGTTCTCGCCTTCCTTTCGCCTTTGTTTCCGCTCTCGTTCTCGCATTCGTTCTCGTTTTCGTTTCGCCTTTATTGCCACCTCGTTATCGCATTTGGTCTCGTCTTCGTTTCGTTTTCGTTCGCGTCCTCGTTTTCGTTCTCGCCTTCTTTTCGGTTTCGTTCCGGTGTCGTTCCCGACAGCATTCTCGATTTCGTTTTCGCCTTCGCTTCCCTTTCGTTGCTCCGCGGTGCATTCGCTTCCTGGGTCGCGCGGAACGTGGTAGATTAAGCAGGAGCGCGGCTGAGCACGGCAGACCAAACATATTCGCGGCCGACAAGCAGAAGCACGGCTAACGATGCAGAGGCACGGCGGAGCAGGCAGGAACACGGCTGATCATGAAGGAACAGGGCAGAACACTAAGCAGCACGGCAGAGCGCAGAGAATCACCACAGACCACGCAGCAGCACGGCAGAACATGCGGGAACACGGCAGACCGCCAGGAGCACGGCAGACCAAACCAACCAGGTCTTCCCAAACCAAACGGGCCTTCCCAAACCACCCGGGCCTTCCCAAACCACAACGGCCGGGTCTTCCCAAACCAACCGGGTCTTCCCAAACCAAACGGGCCCTCCCAAACCACCCGGGTCTTCCCAAACCACAGCGGCCGGGTCTTCCCAAAACAACCGGGTCTTCCCAAACCAACCGCGTCTTCCCAAACCACCCGTGTCTTCCCTAACCACAACGGCCGGGTCTTCCCAAACCAACCAGGTCTTCCCAAACCGAACGGGTCTTCCCAAACCGCTTGGGTCTTCCCAAACCACAACGCCCGGGTCTTCCCAAACACCAGGTCTTCCCAAACCAACCGGGTCTTCCAAACCTAAGCCCGGGTCTTCCCAAACCGAAGCTCCGGGTCTTCCCATATCAACCGGGTGTCTTTCCAAACCACGAGAGCAGGCCGGGGTTGCCCAAACCACCACGGGTCTTCCCAAAACAAGAGGGTCTTCCCGAACCACAATGGCCGGGTCTTCCCAAACCAACCGGGTCTTCCCAAACCACAACGGCTGGGTCTTCCAAACCAACCGGGTCTTCCCAGACCAACCGGATCTTCCCAAACCAACCGCGTCTTCCCAAACCAACCGCGTCTTCCCGAACCACGAGGCCCGGGTCTTCCTAAACCAACCGGGTCTTCCCAAACCAGTCGGGTCTTCCCAAACCAAACCAGGTCGTCCCAAACCAAGACCTGGGTCACCCAAACCAAAGATTGGTTTGGGAAGACCCGTTTGGTTTGGGAAAGACGCCCCTCCCCCCTTGGGGCCCTCTTGGGACACCCCTTGGGCGCCTCTTGGGGGCCTCTTGGGGGCCTCTTGGGCAGTCTTGGGCGGTCTTGGACTCTCTTGGAGCGCTCTTGGGCCGTCTTGGGGGGGAAATGGAACAAACATGTAAAAAACCTAACGGGAAACCGGAAAACGGCCATTCAACCCATCCACTCCCCGTACGCCCCCCCCTGGAACCCCCCCTTAGGGGCTTCGCCCAAAACACAACGTCATCGCTCGTACCTCGCTCTTTCCGTTACCTGCTTAGCATGGCACGGAGACAGAAAGAGCAACTTACTGTGATGGCGCGAGATCGCCTGTTCATTGTTCCTCCTATTACATCCTCTCTGTCCCTCGCCCTCGTCGCATCCCTGGGGCTCTCCTGGGCCGTTTTGGGAGGGGCTGTCTTCGGGCCCTCTTGAGCCATCGCGAGGCCCTTCAACAAAGATGTCAAGAACATGTTGGGAACATACATTAAACCAGGCGATGCTGGAGATGGACCATTTAAGGATGTCCCTGAGCAGCGGAATCGTCATGCTCGGCAATCTCGAGAGCGCTCCTGGACCGGCTGGACCGTCCGCTGTTCGAATGTCATGCTCTCCCCGATTCGCCCGCTTTCCAGCAACACGCGTTTCTCCTCCTCCTCCTCCTCGTCCTCTTCCTCCTCTATCGAGAGCCATTGCGTTTTTCCCGCCGCTGGCTTTCCAGAAAAGCCCTGCGTGCTGCCCGTCTGGACCGCCCGCCTCGCCGCTTCACACCGCCCGACCGCTTCCCGCCTGGCCGTTTCAAGGGGAACGGCAAAGGGCATGAAACATACAGTCGGCCCTGATTAGCAGGTCGACCCTGCCAGATCGAGGGCACCCTTGCGTCCTGTGCTTTTCGTGTTCCCCGACTTATGCTTTCTGCATGTTCTTATGGCAACATGGTCTTCTCGAGCGCCTCGGTCGAGGCGCGCCTCGGGGGAGAGCCAGGGGCCTGCCCGTTGCGCTTTTGGGGGGTGGCCCGGGCTGGACGAAGGGGGGGGATTGGAAAAGGGGGGCTTACGAAATCTGCCGCATGCAGCTTTTTTTTCCGGCCTCACCGCGGGGCCCATTCCTCGATGCACAGCCGCCTCCGGCGCCGGCTTGGAAGGGTCTTGTGTCCTCTCGGGTGTCCTCTCCAATCGAGTCCGACTGCACAAACTCGGAGGTCCGCGCGGATTGCTCGGATCGGCGCTGGAGCCCCCCCGGCGGAGCCCCCGGCGCCGCCCCCGGCGCGCCCCCCGCGCGCCAGGGAGGGGGCTCCCGCGCGGATCCAAGAGATCCGCGCGGACCTCTGAGTTTTTATGCGTATTTAACTTTATGCTCCCCTAGTGTTAGCTTGTCCTCACCCGCCGAACCGTTCTAAGCCGCCTGGCCTCTTGAACCCCGCCTGACCGTTGTACCGAGCCTGGCTGGTTCAACCTGCTTGTCCGTGTTAGCCCGCCTGGCCGTTTCCACGCGCCTGGCTGTCTTGACCCGCCTGGCGGGTTTGGCCCTCCTGTCCGTTTTGAATCGCTTGGCCGTTTTATCTCGCCTGGCCGTTTGAACTAGCCTGGTAGTTTTAGCTCGCCTTGCCCTGTCGAAATCGCCATTTTGGGCAAGACCGAGACCGCGACAACGTCGACAGCATATCCCTAGCGAAAAAACCATGTCGGGCAAGAACGATGTCGACAACAACTCATTTGTGCGAGAATGTCCCCATTGTGAGGCTGTCCCTCGCGAAATCGTTAGATGGGGCAAGACCGAGACCAATCAGAATTTGTGTGAGGATGCCTCTGGCGAAATCGCAATTTTGGGGAAGCGCAATGTCGACAGAATTTCATGTTTGTGAGGATGTCCCTAGCGATGTCACCATCAACTTGTTGGGCTATGTTCTGACTTTGTTTTCTGTTCTGTTCGAGAGGGCAGCGAGTCACTGAACAAAATCCCAGATCCGCCTGCACAACGCAACGCTCATGGGTCAATGGTAGTGCCGATGGTTCCAACCACAAGCTCGATACTGAACACCGACAAGCACTGCTGCGATGCAGACACGCACATGGCCGGAGTATAAAAAAAACAAACATGGAAAGGTCAGCCGTCTGCTAACCAAATACGACCCGCGTCGGCGGCATAGGCGAAAGCTCGGGGCACACTACAGCGTCGCGGCGTAGGGAGGCGAGGACCAAGCGGGGGGTAAGGGGAGGAGGAGGAGGAGGAGGAGGAGGAGGAGGAAGAGGGAGAGTCGGAGCCCCCGGATCTCGGCCGTCAGGCTGTCGCTGCCCGCGGCCTGCCCGAAGATCGCCCCGAATACGATGGGCTATCAGACACCGTGCACCCGCATCCGCACTACGGCGGCGGCTGCGGTGGCCCCCGTTTCGGGGTTGTGCCCCCCGTCGCTGTGGCAGAGGACGTGGAAGGGCTGATTCGGTAACGAATTAAGGATTGGGTCACGGATTAAGGGTTCGGTAACGCATTGAGGAGGAGGAGGAGGAGGAGGAGAAGGAAGGGGAGGAGGGGGAGGAGGAGGAGGAGGAGGAGGAGGAGGGGGAAGGAGGGGGAGGAGGAGGAGGAGGAGGAGGAGGAGGAGGAGGAGGAGGAGGAGGAGGTGGCTCTAGACTGCCCCAAGCTCACGTGGGACACATCTCGTGAGCAAAAATCTGCGACAGGGCAAGGCGCCGGCCTGGAGCTCTTCTGCAGGCCGCCCCCGGGGCTCTGCCCTCTCGCCTCGCAGCGGGCGGAACGGGCAACGTCTGCGCGAGGGCCTCCCGCGCGGGCCTCCGGACGCGGGTGCTTATGCGAGCGCTTGTGCTTCGCCCTCCACGTCCACCACCCCCACTGCCCGGATCATGCCCCCCCCCCGCCTCCTCCTGGCTAGCCCCTGCAGAGTGGTGGCGGATGCGCGCGGCACAGCAACCGAACAATCAACGTCTGCGAAGATTGTGCGTTACATTGCGGTTTTGAAATATATTCGTCGCATGGGCGAAGGGTCAGTGAGCCCTCCAAGTAAGACGAGGGGAACGACGAGATCCGAGGTCGTCCCCCTCAGACGTTAACCAGGAGCTGCTGGAGAGCATGCTAGCTTCAAAGTAGGCCGAGGGGATCGTGTTCGTCCGAGGCGACCTTCGAACGCAAGAATGAACCTGAGCAAGGCGCGGGAATACGCCGAGCAAAAATATAGAAGCGCACTGGGCCAAGGCTAAAAGGTAATGCCCGTAGCGAAGCTCGACCGCTACGACCGCATGTCAACGCCTCATCATCATCATCAACATATTCAGCATCATCATCAGCAGCAGCAGCATCAACAGCATCATCATCATAATCATCATCATCATCACCAACATCATCAACATCATCATCAACAACATCATATTCACCGTAACCGTAGCATCATCAGCAGCATGAGCATAGTCATCGTCATCAGCATCATCAGCATCATCAGCATCATCAGCATCATCATCATCAACATCAGCAACATCATCAGTATCATCTTCAAATATCATCATCATCAGCATCATCAGCAGCAGAATGATCATCATCATCAACAGCTTCATCATCATCATCATCATCATCATCAGCGACAGCAACAGCATCATCATCAGCATCATCGTCATCATCATCAGCATCGCCATCACCATCACCATCATCATCATCATCATCATCAGCATCATCATCATCATCATCATCAGCATCATCATCAGCATCATCATCATCATCGTGACCGTCATCATCATCAGCAGCAACATCATCATCATCATCATCAGCAGAGCAGCATCATCATCAGCAGCATCATCATCATCACCATCACCATCACCATCACCATCACCATCACCATCACCATCACCATCATCATCATCATCATCATCATCATCATCATCATCATCATCATCATCGTCATCATCGTCATCACCCATCCTCATACCAGGTGGGTGAGCGCTGTGACCTGTGCTGCCGCTGGCTGCAAGAGCCCTGCAGGGAGGAAGGAGGACGAGAGGAGAGGACAGGCCTCACTCGCACCCGAGCTTCGTAGCGCCCGGCACGACGTCGCCGGCCCCGGGCGGACGCTCGCCCGGCAGACCTCAGCGCTCCGCCTGCGCCCGGAACCCCGCTCGGAGCCAGGCGCCGCGGCACGCCAGCGGCTCCGCCGGCCACCCTCCGCTGCGCGGAGTGGACGCCCGCGCCGGCGCACAGCGCGCAGAGCCCGACGAAGGCCCCGACGAGGGGGCCAGCGCACCGGCGAGAGCCGAGCCGAGGTTCACGCAGAAGGCTGACCCCGTATAGCGGGTCTCCGCCGGAAACAGCGCCATGATCCAGCACGGAAGCAGTGCTGCGGCTGCGACCATGCCGACGACCAAGAAAAGCTGTATGCCCAGCGCAACAATCGTCCCACTGCGAGCCATGACCTGGAAGATGCCGATCGACAGGGCCACCAAAACTGCTGCAGTGGCCTGCAGAGTTATGGACTGGCGATGCCACCTCGCCCCTGGCATCATATGGAGGCTGAACCAATCAAAGAATATGCCAAACGCGGGCACTGCGGAAACGAGGGCTAGTAGATGCGATAAATTTGCTGCGGTAGCCCAGGCTGGGTCCATACCATAGCTTGTAATTTGAAAAGTTGGCAGGAATACAAAGAAAAACCATAACCCACTGACCATCATACCCCACGCAAGGGACCCGGCTGCAACATCTGCGAGCTGTCATCATCTCCCAGGTTCACCGCTCTCCAGACGCACATCGCAGTCATCATCTCCCAGGTTCATGCTCCCATGCTCTTGCGGCCGCATCACTACTTGCGCTATGTATGCAGCAACGGGCAGCGCTGCGCCGAAGAAGAATGGCACGCGCCAGGCCCAGGCCAGAAGGGCCTTGCCCGAGAAGACCGAGCGGCAGACGAAGTTCACAGCCGACCCCAAGGCGGAGCCCAAGAAGCACCCGCTGAGCGACGTGCACACGTAGGCGTTCTGCCAGCCCGGGGGGGCCTGGAGCTCCGCCAACATCCTGGGGAAACCACAGGGTACCGATGCCGCTGCTCCCCGGACCTCTCCCAGGGTGCGTTCTGACCAGGGCTTCGAGGCGAATCCAGCGGTGGCGACGAGGGCCTCCCAGAGAGCCCAAAAAGGGGCACACCGAGGGAAGGGTAGCGGTATGGGTACCTTTTCC